TTCTCCTCAGTGCAAAAGTAAGTCAAATTACCCAAATATTTGGTAACCTTTTATGGTACCTACAATGCACCAATATCTCCTTCTGACCCTTTCTATCCAAGAGCAATCTAGTGGAATGCAATTTCCCTTCTTAATATTGGAGGTATTTTCAGGTACCCATATGTGGCCATTTTAAAACTTACTTTATTAAAAGAGTAAAGAGTTGTGGCTTAAAAATGGAATAGAAGCTATGCTAGAGATGCAAAAGGCATTTGGCTTCTATTTTTCTTATAAATAAAAGGATAATTTGTGCTAACTCAAAAGAATAAACACATTTATCATCCAGGTTTTCTAATAGGGAATTGGTTAAATAAAATGTTTTATTTACAGAAACAGAAAGGCCATTCCTTGACATTTTCAGATACTTCCAGCTAAATTAACATAGATTCAGTGACTTCGTTATCAAGCCACAAAATCTTAATGTTTTTTTTAATTCACCAGGGAGTTCAAGATATTAAGGTTGCCTACCATATGGACAAAAAACCTGCTTACCTTCTCTCTTGGGTAATAATTAAACTGATTAGGAATTCTGATATTAAGGAGGGCACAGGTTGTGATGAGCACTGGGTTATACGAAGCTAATGAATTGTTGAACACGACATCAAAAACTAATGATGTACTATATGTTGGCTAACTGAACATAATAATAAAATAATGTAATATAAGAAAAAGAAATACTGATAAATTAACCTAAGGGTATTTAACCCTGTTCTACTCATCTAATCCTCACAGAAAATGATTTCCTTCCCTTCATTGATTTTATACCTTAAAAGAAACTTACCAAATTGCAAATACACAACTAATATCTGCAGAGAGAAATGAAGGTCATTTTTAGGTGAAACCGGTCCCAAATGAAAACACAGCCTTATGGCCACGTACATATCACACAGTCTTTACCCATAGTGAGAAGGTAGGTCATTCCTCATTTCTTATTTATTCCCTGGCATAATCAGACCACACCATGAAATCATGTGAGATGCTTCAGAGCTCCTATCAGGACATGAAACCCAAGACAACGAGCAGCACAATAACCATTGTCAACAGGCAAACTCCAACAAAGTCTGGATTTGGATTTGGTTTTATGTTAAGGGAAGCAGATTTGCTCTGGTTTTTAATAATTCATAAGAAACAGAAATCACAATGTATTGAGTCAGCATCCACCTACAAAGAGTCCAAAAAAGCCAAAGGTCTCCCCCACTCACCCTCTTGTTCCACCGACATTTTGAAAATAAAGGGAGAAAACAGAAATGAAAAAAGAGAGTGAGAAGGAACACAGATATGATTTAAATAATTTCAAATCCTTATTAAACATCACTGAGATTGCATTTGATCCATCAGGCTGACTTTCAGTTCTCACCACTAAGACCTTGCAAAGAAACTGGACATGCATGGTTTTGCCTTCCAGGGTTGACCTAGAACTATAAGGGTGAGGTGTATATGAATGTGGGTGTGCTTTAAGTCCATTTTATAAACACTGACACAGGACAATTCTTATCATTGGTAATAGTCTTTTGAGTCCAATCATGCAGAATAACAGGCATGTGCAAGTTAGGTCTTGTTGCAAGATAAACATGGCAAGGTGAACAGTTTAATGCTAGACAAGGGTTGGGAGATTTGTTTTCATTAGAATATACTGGCCATTGGTCCCACATAATCAAAAGTTAGATATACAGGAGTCCACATACAAACAGAGGCCTTCCATTTCAGCTTGACTGACCAAGGAAATGGGTCAGAGTGAACCATTTCAGACAAAGAAAGAACTGTCTAAGTTCTGCCAAAACAAATAACAAAATCTTATATTTTAGTCACATGGAAAATGACTAATATAATTATTTACATTGTAACTTGTTTGTTGTTTTTACAGAAAGGAGTATCCCTGCTTGGTTTAATTTCATCTGTAGAAAATGTAGGACTCACAATTAAAATGTTGGTGGGGAGCTTGTGGGTGGGGAGTGGGGTCCCTCTTAAGACCCAAAGTGATCGGGATCTAAGATTGCTGGGACAGTATTATTCCTTTCTCTGAGCTATAGAAGATCAATTTTTCAGCAAAGCTGGGTGACAACATTCTTTACAGAGCATAACGTTTTTAAGATTTCGATTGTCATACGTTAAGAGAATTAAATAGAAGTAGGCTTTGTAGAATTTAGATTTTGCAATGACTATTTGAAATTTAAAAGTCAGTTTTGCTAATTTTCCCCTGGCAGGTCATAAAAGGATTGATGGATTCTCATCTCATCTATTCCACTTATTCCCTTTGTCAGGACCTATTTTATGATTTACCAGTCAGCTGCTATCAGTATCCTTAAGTAATATTTTCTGATCATGGTAGCAGATTGAACAAAAACTATTGCCTCGGTCTTCAATTAAACAGCTTGCTCCACTTGGAGGGAATTGGCCAGGACCGGGTCCACCTCAAGTATACATTCCTACAAAGCTCAGTCATCAGATTCTTGAAGATGTGCAAGATTGTTAGGGGTTCTTATTCCACAAGAAGAAATTTGGTTGTAAGGCCAATGTATCTCTTTTTAAAAATGAACACACTGACCGAAAAATAAATCAATATGTCAAAGTGGTGGTGGTTTTGTCAAGCTCTCCCAACAGTTTAATTCCTCCTGCATGTGGGCACAGAGCCATCTCTCCTACAAAATACTACAAAACATTTCATTAAGGATCACTGCAAAACCATCAGCCCTATAGAAGTGAGCAAAGGTTAGGCCTCTCAGACTGCCAACCTCACATTCCTAAACGAATCCCAACCACAGGCAGGACCTTCCTTCTTCCAGGAATATAGTTCCAGGTGACTTGACACTTCCAAGTCTGAAAAGCAAGAAAGTCCTTTGGAATTAACAGGTGACTATATAGGAAATACTTGTCTTTTCAAGAAAAGACTCAGTGCAGAACCTAATACATTCTAAGAATTTGATAATAACAGAATCACCTCCTGAAGATATTATAATAAAGTGGACCCAAGATGGTGAAGGACTGGTGAGCTTTTGAAATGATGATCCTCTTTGTTGTCTTATTACCTATTGGCTTTGATAACCTAGTAAAATTCATCCTATAAGCAGGCAAGAAGCCAAACTCTTTATTTGTACATGAGATTTCAATCTGAGGGATTTATTCCATTTTTTCTTGTCCATAAGGGGGATCTGGCTAAAGGTAACCAGCTCCCCAGAGCCATTCAACAGGAGAGATCAGACTAGCAGAGCTTGGGGAAGGTAGTAATAGTAGGGGAGCATTGCCTGGTTCTTGCTTGGTTTAATCTGAGGGAAAAGAAATCACCGCTTCTACACACATGGAAGACAGTCTAACTGTCAAGCACTTCTAGGATGCTGGCTGGAGACTTCCTTCTGACTTTTGATGTCGTTTTGTGGCTGATGAAATTACCCTCGCGACTTTCTTTCAAACAGCTGCCTGTTCCCTGCACTTAAGCGCACGTTCAAGAAAGGCATAGAAAGGACACAGGTACAGCAAGAGAAAAATACAGATAAGGGGTACAGAGAAGTTTTTTTTAAAAGTGGGGGGGCGGAAAGTGTGACAGAAAGAGAACTGAGAGAGCCCATGTGAATGCAGAGGTATTTTAAAAATCAGGTCGTCTGCGATAGTAACCCAAAAAATGGCAGCAAGAGAAAGAAGCTGGGCCACTTCATTCCGGGGGACAAGCTGCACAGGCTACTGTGTTGTTTTCTCCCCATTTTAAACAAATGACCTCTGTGAAGCAGTCTCATAAATGGCAGCATTGCGCACATGGTGATGGTGGGGGTTGGCTCTATTGCTTGAAAGAGACAAAGCTTCCGTATTGTTGTATTTAAGGCAGTTGTCAGAGCACGGCATTCTTGTTTGCTCTATTTTTGAAGGGATTCCATTTGCCAGTCATATCCCACTCATCAACCATCCGTTTCGTGCGTTTCACTTCTTCTTCAGGTGAAGTACCACCACATAGGCGAGCACCAAAACGGTCAGAGTGCAAATAGCTGTGATGGGCACTTCACCAAAGTGAATAAGAAGGGAAGCCTCCACCTGGTCCCTGTTATTGCTGAGAAGTCACCCTGGGAGTGCCTTGTATATAACCAAGATGTTTCACAGTGCCTTCGCAAGTGCTCAAGAGAGCACTTTCATTTGACTTGAGCTAAATTCAGGTGATTTTGCTAAACATTGACACAAAATGCTTCATGGCTTTTAAGACAAACTCATATTGCTAAAGCTATTTAGCAGCAGTAACTTATGGGGAGAGTTATTGCTGTCACATCAACTGCAGTACAAAACTCAGATTATCAGCCCTTCTTGAATTGTTTGAATTTATGAAAATAAATAAACATGAAACATCAGCCATAGTAAGGAGTCAGGGAAACCCCTGAGGAATAGTTATGTCTGTGGAAATGTTTTCCAATGCTGACCTGAGGATCACCCCGTGTTTTGGGTTTGTTTATTTTTAAGAAATTAATATATATATATTTTTTATTCCAGAAGAAGAAAGTAATTATTTCTTAAAACCGTGCAGGGTATAAACCTGGGAAGTGGGACACTTATGGAAAACACAACCCACAATCTGAAAATAGTCTATGTAGGCTCACTTCCTGTTAAGGACATCATCTGGAGGCAATTCCACTCTGTTCCAGGGAGGGATTTTTACCATCCGATATGGACGCGGGAACCCTGCCTCACCACGTGCCATGCCCTTTCCAGTTGTGACACATAATTTGTAAATGACAAATGGGGTCTACTCTCTAAAATATGGATGTCGGTGTCTCCTAGTATCTGGGTCATATTCTCCTTGGGGTCTTCCTCCACACTGCAGTGCTACACTCGAGTCTCTCCTACCTGCTTGCTGTCAAAGAAAAGACCGTCAGCTCTTCCTCCCATCTTCCTTCTAAAGGCCAAACCATTTAGTACCTGGAAACTGTCACCCCCTCCCGCCCCCACACTGTACATAAGCATCACATATGTTCTTTCTACAAATCGGTATACAGGTGCCATTTAATCAGTTCAAATTTGGAAGCTACATCTTCAAGGGTCCGAGAGAGCTCACTTCCCCCCCTTTTTTCCCCCTTTACATGTTTTCTTATAAGACATACAGCTTAATCAATTAACAGACTAAATAGCTTATATACTGGCAATATATTACAGATGGGTTTATGTCAGAGTAATAGATCACATGAAATGGACCATGTGGTACCCCAGGGCATGATGTCTTGGTAGAGCCCTGAGGACACTGACAGTAGCATCTCTAAGTAAGTAGTGCTGTATGAATACAGACACATGCGGATCTGTATCTACATCCATCTGACTAGGCCAAAAGGAGCAGGTAGATGCAAGATAGAGACACACACATGCTGGATGGGGCCACTGCACACCTTGTCATGCCATTTGAAAGGGCAGTTACAGGTTGCTGGTTTTGAAGCCATTAAAATTACACTTTATGGAAAAGGCTTTTCTAATTGTGTTTGAGTTGCTTTCTGTAGTAAGCATCGTTGGAGGAAGACCAAAGCAAGAGCAACTAGAAGTTAAATATACATTTAGCTTAGCTGCAATACAGAACTCTGGAGAAGAAGCAGGCTGAAAGATTGGTTTCAATTTTAGGCTCGGATTCTCTCCCTTGCCATTTTCTTAGAGTTGCGTGTCTGCGTATGTGTGTGTGCATTCGTGTCTGCGTGTGTGTGTGTGTGTGTGTGTGTGTTCCAACACATCATCTCCTGAAGAACGCTGGGTTTCGCAGGCAGGCGGCTAGTCACCTGCAACAACCCAGGGGTCCTGCTGAGGCTTCCAGGCTGCTGTCAGTGTCGGATGCCAGGGTCTGGTCAGTGGACATGGAAGAGATGTCATTGACGGACGAAGATGGAGGGAGACTCTCACTGCTGTTCACTGCTGCACCTGTGCTAAGAAAATGAAGACCAACATGACTAAATCTGGAACTCGACTTAACTTCATGTCGCTCAGGATGCGGGCATGGGCAAATACAGGAGGCGATGTTTAGTACATCATTCATTCAACAAGCCTTCTTAGAACAATTACTCCAGGGCACTATGTTAGATGGTGAAAATCGAAACATAACAACGCAGAGTCCCTAGTCACAAGTTATTCTACCTTGGAAACCATCTGTAAGGCTCTTAAAAGAAAACAAAAGCAAACAAACAAAAATATGCCACTAAAAACCCCAGTCACCCTTCCCACCTCCAATATTGTCATATAATTGGCCTGTGTGAGGCCAAGGCATTTGCATTTTTTAAAAGCTCTTAGACACTGTGTAGTCAAAGGTTGAAGACCACAATCCTATTGAGTAGGAAGATGAGCAAGAACTTTTAATGTAATGATCTGAACCTGGATGTTTTTAATGCAGGGCTTTTTAAAACACATGTAAGGGTCCTATTCCAAAAATAAGGGCTGAGCAGAAATCAGAATTACTTGGAGACTACAGCTCTTGAGAAATGAACGCATGTTAAGTAAATATTATTATAGTCATTAATGTGATATCGAACTTAAAATCCATACAGAAAAGCTAAGTAGGACTTTCAGTGAAAGTTACCACAGACCAAATACCAAATAATAATAATAATAGAAGAAGCCAGAGCACTCTTTTTTAAAGTAGGCTCCACGCTAGAGCACACTTTTTGATTGTGTGTTAATTTTTAGCAGGCTTGCTTACCTGCCAATCTACAAACAAAAATTCTGAGTTATTAAATTAATTTGAAAAAAATATTTATCTGCTCTGTGGGAATATAAAGATTTTGAAACTCTGAGAAGAAACTTGCTTATGGTAATCACTCATTAACACTTGCTGAGTTATAATATCTTTGAGAACTACAAAGGACAGATAAGTCAGAGGCACTGTAAAATATAATTAACCATAACACCCTGGAAACAGTTTACTTTTTCTCTTTATATATTCTTTATACTTAAGCAATGTAGGTGGTAAAATGCATGCTTTGTGAAATAGTTTGCTATTAAAAAATATTTGTAGTATAAATCATCTAATAAAATCAGAGATGAAGAATTTTCACTAAAATGTTATCTCATTTGAGCAAATATAGTGTGCAAGCTACATCTGGTGAAAAATAACAAATCCAAAATAAGTTACAGTAGTGTTATCACAAAGATCTAATAAATCAGAAAAAAATCTATGAAGAATTTGTATGACTCAACACCGGAAAAAACAAACAATCTGATTAAAAATATGGGCAGAGGACCTGAATAGACATTTTTCCAAAGAAGACATACAGATGGCCAACAGACCCATGAAAAGATGCTCCACATCACACATCATCAGGGAAATGCAAATAAAAACCACAAAGACATATGACCTGACACTTGTCAGATTGGCCAGCATAAAAAAAAAAAAGAAGGAACAAGTGTTGATGAGATTGTGGAGAAAAATGAACCCTCACATACTGTTGATGGGAATGTACATTGGTACAGTCACTGTGGAAAACAGTATGGAGTTTTCTCAAAAAATTAAAAATAGAAATACCATATAATCCAATGATTCCATTACTGGGTATTTACCCAAAGGAAACAACACTAATTTAAAAAGATATATGCACCCCTATGTTTATTACAATATTATTTACAGTAGTATTTATATATATATATGGTATGGTATGGAAGTATGAGGTATTTATATAAATTATATATAGCATATATAATATATAGTAGGTATATATATTATATATATATAAATATGGTATGGT